ACTAGAGCAAAGATTTTGAACAAAAGTTTTGATTTTTGTATTAATTTCTGAATGAATAAATTAACAAGAGGAAGGGCCTTTATATAGGCATCAACTAGATCTAGTCCTAGTATAACTATAACTCAATTAAGCAATAAAATATTAAGTATCCTAAACAAACTAGAAAACAAGGAAATAAAATATTAATCAAGTTATTTAATTTATTTCTTGCTTGCGCCCCAAATCGCCTTGCCCGCGTCCGCGTTGCCCAATCCTCGTGCGCCTAGGTATGTATGCGCGTGCACCTCGTCGCCTGCACGTCCAAACCTGCATCCATCCCCGATAGTGTCGCGCGCGTCGTCTCCCGCGCGCGCGCGTCAGTCCGCATATTGCACCTCGCTGGCACGGCGACTTAACCTCCTTCGCACATGCCACGCGCGACTTGCCGCATTTTTTAGTCTTCTCGCCGTGTTTGCATCAACGCGTGATGCGGAAGTGGTCATCAACCCAGGCGAGTGCGACGAGGAAGAGGACGATGGTCTCGACATATGGCTGGAAAACATGCTGGAGGAGCCATCAAGACCGATTTATCGACCATCATGCAAGAGGGACTGGCCGAAAGGGTGTGGCCCACGGGCTAAGCTGCCTACGAAGCGCAAGACCAAACGAGCCCGAAGGAAACGCAAGGCAAAGGCTAAGGAATCCTATTGTTGGTGTAAACCTTGCACACGGAAGAAACGAGCACGAAAGAAGGAGGCTAGAAGGCATGGTTTGCGATGGGTTGACAAAGGATGGTGGATACTGGTGGACGGTTGTGAGAGGTTAAAGGGTTGGGATCCATGGCCCGAACCAACGGTGACGATCGCCGACGAGAAGGGCGACGGCGATCGGCTAATGGGCGAAGGGCGCACATCGGCCCATGATGCGCGCAGTTGGACAGAGCAGGACGATGTGCGGAGGTGCACGATAAGCGGGCAAGTCACGGAGGTCGATTGGGACGTGCTGGCTTTCGGCGATAAAGGCGCGGGGCGCGATAGGCGCGCGAGTGAGCGGTCTGCGGGAGTGAGCGGTACGGGCCATGCCGCGGGTGCACGGGGTTGCACGGGAGATGATCGGAGCTCGCGGGCGATGGGTGCGACGCGCGAAGAAGCGGACGCGGTAGGATGCGCCGTAGGTGATTGGGGCGCGGGCTGTAGCCGGGACACGCGCGAGTTGGACGGCGAAAGCGAGGCACGCACAAGGGTGCGCGAGTGGAGTCCGGACGCGGGCAGGGACCTAAGCCTCGGGGGCTTAGGCATGCGGGAGGTACACGCGCGCGAGATAGGCGGCGAGCGCGGGGAGCGCGCGAGGGCGCGCGCGTACGAGATGGATAACCCAGACCGCGCGGGATTAGGAGTAGCGGGGGCGGTGGCCAGCGCGTGCGAGACGGACGAGGCGCGCGATGCCTCGCGCGCCAAGGAATAGGCAACGCGAGTCGGCGCACGCGAAGGAAGGCGGCCGAAGTACTTAGGGGCGTGTGGTTTGGAATTGTTTGGAGTGCAAGCCAAGCAAGATCAAGATCTAGTCAATTTAGGACTTTAGTATATTTAGTTTCCTTCTTGCACAATAGTATCTAGAATGTTTAGGAATTTAATATTTTATTGCTTTAATATGTTTCCCAGGTAGATTAGAATTAGTCATAGTTAGGATTTATAAATAGGGAGCATCCCTCATTGTTTTGAGGAGTCTTGGATGAGTTGAATAGAAAAGAACGTTTGTTCGAAACCGTGTGTTAGGGTTCGTGAGAATTCGATCATGCAACCGAATTGGTGAGGCTAAGACCCAAGCTAGTTCAACGATTTAGAGAGGCTAAGACCCGATCTATTTCGAGAGTGTAGCGAGGCTAATACCCGAGTGAACTCAAGTATCGTGAGAAGTTAGGCTAATAACCGAGTCGATCACACCTATCGTCGAGAGCAAGGCCGTGGCGAAGCCGTGATCGAGACAAGTCGAGGGAACGCAACACGCGATCCTTCATCATTGTTGCTTTCATTGAGAGTGATTGATTGGGTGTTCGTGAACTTTTTCTATCCCATTCTTTTTCTTTTGTTCGATTTTTTTGAGTCTTTGTGTTCAAATTTTTTCGAATTTTTGTCCAAATTTTCGAAAAATTTCGTGAGTCAAAAAAAAAAAAAAAAGAACAGTGTCATCTAGTCCTTTTGTTTGATTTTTTTCGGTTATTACCTTTTTGTTGAAGGGGCCGAATTTCTCTTGTTTTTCTTTTCTTTTTGGTTCGACTTTGTCGAATTATTTTTTTTAGAGTCTTAAAAAAAAAATATGTCTTATGTGCCAATGGACGAGATGCATTGGGAAGATCTCGAACTATTGGAGAGTTTGGAGAGATAAATTACCCCATGGGAGAGCATATATCTAGACGAGCTCCATGAACGAAGAAATCGAGAAGAGTACGAGCGACAACTCATGGAAGGACGAGGAGCAAGATAGGGTGAAGTTCAAAACCGTGAAGATGATGGTGCGCTTAATTTTCTAATCCTTGAGGACAAGGAAAGTCTTGAAGAGGAGGGGAATGATGTGGAAGTGGTCATCAACCCAGGCGAGTCCGACGAGGAAGAGGACGATGGTCTCGACATATGGCTGGAAAACATGCTGGAGGAGCCATCAAGCCCGATTTATCGACCATCATGCAAGAGGGACTGGCCGAAAGGGTGTGGTCCACGGGCTAAGCTAAAGCCTACGAAGCGCAAGACCAAACGAGCCCGAAGGAAACGCAAGGCAAAGGCTAAGGAATCCTACTGTTGGTGTAAACCTTGCACACGGAAGAAACGAGCACGAAAGAAGGAGGCTAGAAGGCATGGTTTGCGATGGGTTGACAAAGGATGGTGGATACCGGTGGACGGTTGTGAGAGGTTAAAGGGTTGGGATCCATGGCCCGAACCAACGGTGACGATCGCCGACGAGAAGGGCGACGGCGACCGGCTAATGGGCGAAGGGCACGCATCGGCCCATGATGCGCGCAGTTGGACAGAGCAGGACGATGTGCGGAGGTGCACGATAAGCGGGCAAGTCACGGAGGTCGATTGGGACGTGCTGGCGTTCGGCGATAAAAGCGCTGGGCGCCATAGGCGCGCGAGTGAGCGGTCTGCGGGAGTGAGCGGTACGGGCCATGCCGCGGGTGCACGGGGTTGCGCGGGAGATGATCGGAGCTCGCGGGCGATGGGTGCGACGCGCGAAGAAGCGGACGCGGTAGGATGCGCCGTAGGTGATTGGGGCGCGGGCTGTAGCCGGGACGCGCGCGAGATGGACGGCGAAAGCGAGGCGCGCACAAGGGTGCGCGAGTGGAGTCCGGACGCGGGCAGGGACCTAAGCCTCGGGGGCTTAGGCATGCGGGAGGTACATGCGCGCGAGATAGGCGGCGAGCGCGGGGAGCGCGCGAGGGTGCGCGCGTACGAGACGGATAACCCAGACCGCGCAGGACTAGGAGTAGCGGGGGCGGTGGCCAGCGCGTGCGAGACGGACGAGGCGCGCGATGCCTCGCGCGCCAAGGAATAGGCAACGCGAGTCGGCGCACGCGAAGGAAGGCAGCCGAAGTACTTAGGGGCGTGTGGTTTGGAATTGTTTGGAGTGCAAGCAAAGCAAGATCAATATCTAGTCAATTTAGGACTTTAGTATATTTAGTTTCCTTCTTGCACAATAGTATCT